TAGAAAGAAAGGATCTTCAATACTTCCAAGAGGGAATTTTTGGTTTACTGATCGTTCTAAATGCTCCCCACCTAACAAGTCCTAAATAAAGTCTATTTAGAGAAGTCACACTATCATAACTTCATCCTAATTCACAATATAGGAGTTTAGACTTGCAAAAATATCATTTTGCAAGCATCTTAGATAATTATAGAATCAGCATTTTAGAGCTCAAGGTTTAAAAATCCTCTTGTAGGACCCACACTACATAGATAGGAATGCTAGGGAGGGGACCTGCCTGAGATGAGTTTCCATGGCCTTATTCCTCCCGACCCCCTTAGTTCCATGATAAAATAAACCACAGCTTGACCTACCTAAGATAAATTAATGCTCAGGGAACCCTCTCCTGGTTCTTGACCTTGCACAAATAAAAGAACCTATGGGGCCTCGAAAGTTACATCCCTTTGGTCCTGGAAACTAGACATTTTATTTCAACAATGTAGTTTAAGTACTTGAATGTCACAATATATGACCAAGGTTGGGGGAAATGTTTCTTCTCCCAACTGTTATAGGGTGTGATTCTTAAATACTTTTATAATGTCCAAGGTATATATAAGGATATGTATTGTAACCATTATGGGTGTGTATTTTTTGCAAAGATTGTAGTTTATCTTGAAAGGGGAAATATTTTCATAAGTTGTTTTTATTTTGTAAGTACTAATAAAGTGAAAAAAAGCGCCATATTTTGGTTTTTATGACTATAGCAAATGTGCTAGCTAATATAACTTCCTTTTTCATCCATGTGCTTTAAATCTCATTTTATAAAGGGACTGACCTCTGGCCACTCAGCTGTGATGTACTCTTCTAGTTACAAACTGTCCCTCTGAGACTGTCACATCAAATCCTGTATCTCTAAAGGCTTCTGTTCCAGTGAGGACTTCATTTCTAGACCAGTTCTGTTCCAGTGAGGACTTCATTGTTCTAGACCAGCGGGTCTCAACCTGCGGGTCGCAACCTCTTTGAGGGTTGAACGACCCTTTCACAGGGGTCGCCTAAATACATCCTACATATCAGATATTTACATTCCCATTCATAACAGTAGCAAAATTACAGTTATGAAGTAGCAATGAAAATAATTTTATGGTTGGGGGTCACCACAACATGAGGAACTGTATTAAAGGGTTGCAGCATTAGAAAGGCTGAAAAACACTGTTCTAGACCCTCTAGAGCTTGGAACAGCTTTGAATTCTGCTTCCATAGCTGACTTGTTAATTGTGGAATGTCTGTCTTAAAGTGGTGTGGATTCATTCTTGGCCATTTCCACTGATACCACCTTACTCCAAGATTTATCACTTCATAACTGAATTACAACGAGAATATCTAATTGGGTTACCCATGTCTAGACTCTCTCTTCCACTCAGATCCTTGTCACACTGCCATACTAATCTTCTGAAAGTCCTGCTTTCATTGTTACTCTGGTTACTGTGGTGAAACTACAATGGTGCCTTACCATACACCACTCAGGGTAACTATGCCAGCTGCCATCACACAACCCTAGAATCTCAGATAAAGTTTTATTTCTTAACTAGTGGCCCAGTGCATGAAATTCGTGCAGGGGAAGCGGGTGTTCCTGAGCCCGGCCTGCACCCTCTCCAATCTGGGACCCCTCAAAGGATGTCCTACTACCGGTTTACAGGGATTGGGCCTAAACAGGCAGCCGGACATCCCTCTCGCAATCCAGGACTGGCTCCTAACTGCTCACCTGCCTGCCTGATTGCCCCTAACCACTCTGCCTGCCGGCCTGCTCGCCCCCAATTGCCCCCCTGCTGGCCTGCTCACTCCAAATTGCCCCCCCCCGCTGTCCTGATCGCCTCCAACTGACCCCCACTGATGGCCTGCTCTCCCCCAACTGGCCCCCCTGCTGGTCTGCTTAGCCCCAATGGCCCGGCTCCCCATCAGCCTGATCAACAACAACTACCATCCCATCCTGGTCTGGTCACCCACAACTGCCCTCCCCTCTTGGCCTCTAACCTCCTCTACCTCGGCCCCGCCACCATGGCTTTGTCCAGAAGAACGTCCATAAGGTCTCCCAGTCTAATTAGCATATTACCTTTTTATTAGTATAGAAGATAGAGGTTTGGTGCATGTGTGGGGGCTGGCTGGTTTGCCCTGAAGGGTGTCCTGGATCAGGGTGGGGGTTCCCTTGGGGCGTGGGTGGCCTGGGTGAGGGGCCTGTGGTGGTTTGCAGGATGGCCATGCCCCCATGGGGCGAGGATCCCCACTGGGGGGGCGTGGCCAGTCTGGGTGAGGAGCTGAGGGCTGTTTTCAAGCTGGCCACACCCCCTTCAGGGTGGGGGTACCCACTGGGGTGCCTGGCCAGTCTGGGTGAGGGGCTGATGGCTGTTTGCAGGCTGACCACAGACCTGGCGAGCCAAGCTCCCAGTCCCTCTTTTGTTTTTTTTCAGTGCCTCCTTGAGCAGAGGGAAGCAGGTATCTGAGATTTATTTATCTTCTATAATTGAAACTTTGTAGCCTTGAGTGGAGGCCAGGGTTGGCCAGGGCAGGCTGGAAGCTTGGCTTCCTCCATCGCCAGGGGCAACACAAGCCTCCTGTTCGCTCCAGCTCCGTGGCCACCGGCCTCTTAGTTAGGTTAATTTGCATACTCACTCCTGATTGGCTGGTGTGCGTGGCTTGTGGGCATAGCAGAGTGATGGTTAATTTGCATGTTTCTCTTTTATTAGATAGGATGACATCACAGTCTGATGTAAATTGTAAGCTCTCTATAATCTCTCCCTTAAGTTATAACAGTCTTCCAGGCTCCTTCCAGCCTATAATACTATTTTCTTAAACATATACCTCTAAGCTTGAAGCAGATTTTATGTCTACACAGGCTTAGAGAGCATCACTCCCACCTGCATCCCATTGACCTTAACCTCACTGAAGAGGAAGGTAGGAAATAAGGTCTTCCTTTGTGTCCACAAAGAGGAAAAGATAACAGGATTTTGTGAACACAAAGCCTTGTCTCTGCCATAACCTCCTTCCTTTGTAGAGCCACCCAAACCTAAGCCCCACAGTTCTTGGGGAGCTGGCAATCAGAATCCCACTCCCAGGGCCTAAAGAGTGGGTGGGCCCATGACCTAAGCTAAACAAAGTCAAGTTTTTCTCTTCTGGTCATTTGAATATTGAGCAAAGTTGAAAAAGCAAAAGGCACATAGTGGAACGGTAGGGTGGCAATACCCTGTGCGATGGGTCCTGGGTGCTGGCTGCAGAACCCCTGTGGTTTCACTGGGTCCTATCCCTCCTAACACCCAGTTGTCCAGCTTTTGCCAAATCTGTGGTCTCCCTCCTATAATTGTAGTTGATCCCTTATTTATGATTAAGTTTCTGTTGTTTGTACCTCAAATACCTTAATCAACACCCAATATTTGCTATCTGTATGCTGACCAACCAGATTCTCATTCCCTTATGACTCAGCCCTGAAGTATAATAATTTCACCGAGGCAGTGCCTCCCCTTGGGGATATGATGGGGTGTCTGACCAATCTTTTCTA